TATATATTTCAGTTTAACTCGTGGTTTCGTGGTAATTAATTGAAGGTGGAGGGGTTACCAGCCCCTCGCACCCGTCCAGAGCCCCCGTTTAGCCACTGTGGTGGACACAGACGCCATGAGGGGAGGAGCCAATCAAAATTGGATCTCCCCCCACAGCACTGTCCACGACAGAGTTGCCCGTCCGGCACCGCGAGGAGGTAGGGGGTTGTTTTGCCGGACACACAGACACACACACACAGACACTCACACACAGTGACACACACAGTGACACACAGAGTGACACACACAGTGACACACACACACACACAGTGACACACACAGTGACACACACACACACAGTGACACACAGTGACACACACACACACACACAGTGACACACACACACACACAGTGACACACACACACACAGTGACGCACACACAGTGACACACACACACACACAGTGACACACACACACAGTGACACACACACAGTGACACAACAACAACAACAACAACCGCCATTCGCCACTAAGTGGCGGTGACGTCACCACGACGCTTGTGCCAGGCTATGTGCACCCTGAGGCCACGTGAAGTGTCGAACGCCCGCTGGCAGGAGGTCACGGGGCAGACCCAGGTGCCACGGGTCGACTGACTGAGATGACTGGCTGATGCACCACCTGTGCCCCCTACTGTGCCAACCTGCTGTGCTTTAGCCACCCGGCGCTCCGCTCGCTGTTGTGAGCGTCGCTCCTCCGCCCTCCGTTGTTGTTGGAGGGCGACTGCCTCCAACTGCCCAGTAGCATCCTTCACGAGCCTCCTCCACAGAGGCCGATCTTGACACCGCTGGTACCAGTCATCGGCAAGTCCACTCAGCTCCACGTCCTCCTGTACCACATCACTCCATCTCTTCTCTAGCCCGTGCCGCGCCCGCTTAGCCCCCTCAATCCGGCCAAACAAAAGCTGTTTCGGCATGCGGTGGCTGGGCATGCGGGCTACATGACCCAGCCATCGCAGCCTTGCCTGCCGGAGGAGCTCACCGATGGGACCCTGCCCAGATCTTTCAAGGATTTGTGAGCTCCTCACACAATCCAGTCTGGTTAAACCCAGGATGGATCGTAGGCAGGCCAGCCTAAATGTTTCTAACCGGCGAAGATGTTCCATTAGGGGGGTCCACGTTTCGCAAGCGTAGAGAAGGGAGGGAATGACCGTGGCCGAGAAGACCTGAAGCTTAGTGCGGAGCGACAGACCAGGTAGCTTCCACACAGCGTTACGCAACCGATGAAAAGATATTGCCGCTCGACTGATTCGGAGTGAGACCTCTGCTGTTAAACTGGAGCCAGTCATAAGCACACTACCCAGGTATGGGAAACTCTCCACTCTCTCCACAACTGCCCCATCACCGATTGGGAGTTGTGGTGGTGGAGTGTCCGATGGTACAAAATACCCAAGCAGGTGCTTAGTTTTGGTGGGGCTGATGGTAAGGCCCCACCTCTTAGTGGCACGCTCTAGTCTCAGCAGCAGCGTCTCCAACTCCTCCTCTGACTGAGCAGCTATTACCAAGTCATCAGCATACATAACGTGGTTGAGCAATAGGGAGCCATCCCTTGACCGCACCCGGGCATCGATTAGCCTCCCATTATATCTGTACCATATGGAGATTCCCCCGGTACAGCTATTGAAGGCTTCACGAACTACGTGGTCAAAATAGATGTTAAATAATGTGGGAGCCAGAGGACATCCCTGTCGCACCCCAAGGTGTACAGGGAATGGCTCTGACTCCCGGCCACGTAGTTTTACCCGGGCCCGCTCACCATCATGAAGGTCCTTAATGATCGTGAGCAGAGGGTCAGGGACTCCAAAAGCACGAAGAACGACCCAGAGCCCAGGCCTACTGATGGTATCATAGGCCTTGACCAGGTCAATAAAGCAGAGATGTAGGTCTTGTTGGAATTCCCTACACCTCTGCTGTAGCAGACGGACAGAAAATATGGCATCTGTGCAGGACCGCCCTTTCCTGAAACAGTGACACACACACAGTGACACACACACACAGTGACACACACACACACAGACACACAGTGACACACACACACAGTGACACACACACACAGTGACACACACACACACAGACACACACACACACAGTGACACACACACACACAGACACACACACACAGTGACACATACACAGTGACACACACAGTGACACACACACACACACAGTGATACACACACACAGTGACACACACAGTGACACACACACAGTGACACACAGTGACACACACACAGTGACACACACACACAGTGACACACACACAGTGACACACACACACAGTGACACACACAGTGACACACACACACAGTGACACACACAGTGACACACACACAGTGACACACACACAGTGACACACACACACAGACACACACAGTGTACACACACACAGTGACACACACACACAGTGACACACACACACAGTGACACACACAGTGACACACACAGTGACACACACACAGTGACACACACACACACAGTGACACACACACACAGTGACACACACACACAGTGACACACACACAGTGACACACACACACAGTGACACACACACACACAGACACACAGTGACACACACACAGTGACACACACACACAGTGACACACACACAGTGACACACACACACAGTGACACACACACACACAGACACACACACACACACAGTGACACACACACACACAGACACACACACACAGTGACACATACACAGTGACACACACAGTGACACACACACACACAGTGATACACACACACAGTGACACACACAGTGACACACACACAGTGACACACACACACAGTGACACACACACACAGTGACACACACAGTGACACACACAGTGACACACACACAGTGACACACACACAGTGACACACACAGTGACACACACACACAGTGACACACAGTGACACACACACAGTGACACACACACACAGTGACACACACACAGTGACACACACACAGTGACACACACACACAGTGACACACACACAGTGACACACACAGTGACACACACACAGTGACACACACAGTGACACACACACACAGTGACACACACAGTGACACACACACACAGTGACACACAGTGACACACACACAGTGACACACACACACAGTGACACACACACAGTGACACACACACAGTGACACACACACACAGTGACACACACACAGTGACACACACACAGTGACACACACACACAGTGACACACACACAGTGACACACACACAGTGACACACACACACACAGTGACACACACACAGTGACACACACACACAGTGACACACACACAGTGACACACACACACAGTGACACACACAGTGACACACACACACAGTGACACACACAGTGACACACACACAGTGACACACACACAGTGACACACACACACAGACACACACAGTGTACACACACACAGTGACACACACACACAGTGACACACACACACAGTGACACACACAGTGACACACACAGTGACACACACACAGTGACACACACACACACAGTGACACACACACACAGTGACACACACACACAGTGACACACACACAGTGACACACACACACAGTGACACACACACACACAGACACACAGTGACACACACACAGTGACACACACACACAGTGACACACACACAGTGACACACACACACAGTGACACACACACACACAGACACACACACACACAGTGACACACACACACACAGACACACACACACAGTGACACATACACAGTGACACACACAGTGACACACACACACACAGTGATACACACACACAGTGACACACACAGTGACACACACACAGTGACACACACACACAGTGACACACACACACAGTGACACACACAGTGACACACACAGTGACACACACACAGTGACACACACACAGTGACACACACAGTGACACACACACACAGTGACACACAGTGACACACACACAGTGACACACACACACAGTGACACACACACAGTGACACACACACAGTGACACACACACACAGTGACACACACACAGTGACACACACACACAGTGACACACACACAGTGACACACACAGTGACACACACACACAGTGACACACACAGTGACACACACACACAGTGACACACAGTGACACACACACAGTGACACACACACACAGTGACACACACACAGTGACACACACACAGTGAGACACACACACAGTGACACACACACACAGTGACACACACACAGTGACACACACACACAGTGACACACACACACAGTGACACACACAGTGACACACACACACAGTGACACACACAGTGACACACACACAGTGACACACACAGTGACACACACACAGTGACACACACACAGTGACACACACAGTGACACACACACAGTGACACACACACAGTGACACACACACACAGACACACACACAGTGACACACACACACAGTGACACACACACAGTGACACACACAGTGACACACACACACAGACACACACACAGTGACACACACAGTGACACACACAGTGACACACACACACAGACACACACACAGTGACACACACACACAGTGACACACACACAGTGACACACACAGTGACACACACACACAGACACACACACAGTGACACACACAGTGACACACACAGTGACACACACACAGACACACACACAGTGACACACACACACAGTGACACACACAGTGACACACACAGTGACACACACACACAGTGACACACACAGTGACACACACACACACAGTGACACACACAGTGACACACACAGTGACACACACACAGTGACACACACAGTGACACACACACAGTGACACACACACACAGTGACACACACAGTGACACACACACACACAGTGACACACACAGTGACACACACAGTGACACACACACAGTGACACACACAGTGACACACACACAGTGACACACACACACACAGTGACACACACCCCCTACCCCCTCCCCTTATCCCCCCAGCGCCCCCTCCCCCAGGCCGAGTGAACTCCTTTGACGCTGCCAGCTTCATCGGCGGCGTGGTCCTCTCACTGGCCCTGGTGGCCATTGTGTTCATCACGTGTCGTGTGGTGAACACTCACTCACCCAGCTACGACTCACTGTGAGACTCACTCACTCACTCAGTCACTCACTCAGTCACTCACTCAGTCTCTCACTGGCCCTGGTGGCCATTGTGTTCATCACGTGTCGTGTGGTGAACACTCACTCACCCAGCTACGACTCACTGTGAGACTCACTCACTCACTCAGTCACTCACTCAGTCACTCACTCAGTCATACACTCAGTCACTCATACACTCACTCAGTCACTCACTCATACACTCACTCACTCAGTCACTCACTCAGTCACTCACTCAGTCAGTCACTCACTCAGTCTCTCACTGGCCCTGGTGGCCATTGTGTTCATCACGTGTCGTGTGGTGAACACTCACTCACCCAGCTACGACTCACTGTGAGACTCACTCACTCAGTCACTCACTCAGTCACTCAGTCACTCACTCAGTCACTCACTCAGTCACTCACACAGTCTCTCACTGGCCCTGGTGGCCATTGTGTTCATCACGTGTCGTGTGGTGAACACTCACTCACCCAGCTACGACTCACTGTGAGCCTCACTCACTCAGTCACTCACTCATACACTCACACAGTCACTCACTCACTCAGTCACTCACTCACTCACTCAGTCACTCACTCAGTCACTCAGTCACTCACTCAGTCTCTCACTGGCCCTGGTGGCCATTGTGTTCATCACGTGTCGTGTGGTGAACACTCACTCACCCAGCTACGACTCACTGTGAGTATCACTCACTTACACACTCACTCACTCATACACTCAGTCACTCACTCAGTCACTCACTCACTCAGTCACTCACTCAGTCACTCAGTCACTCACTCAGTCACTCACTCAGTCACTCACTCAGTCTCTCACTCGCCCTGGTGGCCATTGTGTTCATCACGTGTCGTGTGGTGAACACTCACTCACCCAGCTACGACTCTCTGTGAGTATCACTCACTCAGTCACTCACTCAGTCACTCACTCAGTCTCTCACTCACTCACTCAGTCACTCACTCACTCAGTCACTCACTCAGTCTCTCACTGGCCCTGGTGGCCATTGTGTTCATCACGTGTCGTGTGGTGAACACTCACTCACCCAGCTACGACTCACTGTGAGACTCACTCACTCACTCAGTCACTCACTCAGTCACTCAGTCTCTCACTGGCCCTGGTGGCCATTGTGTTCATCACGTGTCGTGTGGTGAACACTCACTCACCCAGCTACGACTCACTGTGAGACTCACTCACTCACTCAGTCACTCAGTCACTCACTCAGTCACTCACTCAGTCACTCAGTCACTCACTCAGTCACTCACTCAGTCATACACTGACTCAGTCACTCACTCAGTCATACACTCACTCAGTCTCTCACTGGCCCTGGTGGCCATTGTGTTCATCACGTGTCGTGTGGTGAACACTCACTCACCCAGCTACGACTCACTGTGAGACTCACTCACTCACTCATACACTCACTCACTCAGTCACTCACTCAGTCACTCACTCAATCACTCATACACTCAGTCACTCACTCAGTCACTCACTCAGTCATACACTGACTCAGTCACTCACTCACTCAGTCACTCACTCAGTCTCTCACTCGCCCTGGTGGCCATTGTGTTCATCACGTGTCGTGTGGTGAACACTCACTCACCCAGCTACGACTCACTGTGAGCCTCACTCACTCACTCAGTCACTCACTCACTCACTCAGTCACTCACTCACTCATACACTCACTCAGTCACTCACTCAGTCTCTCACTGGCCCTGGTGGCCATTGTGTTCATCACGTGTCGTGTGGTGAACACTCACTCACCCAGCTACGACTCACTGTGAGCCTCACTCACTCACTCAGTCACTCACTCACTCAGTCACTCACTCACTCATACACTCACTCAGTCACTCACTCAGTCTCTCACTGGCCCTGGTGGCCATTGTGTTCATCACGTGTCGTGTGGTGAACACTCACTCACCCAGCTACCACTCACTGTGAGTATCACTCACTCAGTCACTCACTCACTCACTCAGTCACTCACTCAGTCACTCACTCAGTCTCTCACTGGCCCTGGTGGCCATTGTGTTCATCACGTGTCGTGTGGTGAACACTCACTCACCCAGCTACGACTCACTGTGAGACTCACTCACTCACTCAGTCACTCACTCACTCACTCAGTCACTCACTCAGTCTCTCACTCGCCCTGGTGGCCATTGTGTTCATCACGTGTCGTGTGGTGAACACTCACTCACCCAGCTACGACTCACTGTGAGACTCACTCACTCACTCAGTCACTCACTCAGTCACTCACTCAGTCACTCACTGGCCCTGGTGGCCATTGTGTTCATCACGTGTCGTGTGGTGAACACTCACTCACCCAGCTACGACTCACTGTGAGACTCACTCACTCACTCAGTCACTCACTCACTCAGTCACTCACTCACTCAGTCACTCACTCAGTCTCTCACTCGCCCTGGTGGCCATTGTGTTCATCACGTGTCGTGTGGTGAACACTCACTCACCCAGCTACGACTCACTGTGAGACTCACTCACTCACTCAGTCACTCACTCAGTCACTCACTCACTCACTCAGTCACACAGTCTCTCACTCAGTCACTCACTCAGTCACTCACTCACTCACTCAGTCACTCACTCAGTCTCTCACTGGCCCTGGTGGCCATTGTGTTCATCACGTGTCGTGTGGTGAACACTCACTCACCCAGCTACGACTCACTGTGAGACTCACTCACTCACTCAGTCACTCACTCACTCAGTCACTCACTCACTCAGTCACTCACTCACTCAGTCACTCACTTATACACTCACTCAGTCACTCACTTATACACTCACTCACTCAGTCACTCAGTCACTCACTCAGTCTCTCACTCGCCCTGGTGGCCATTGTGTTCATCACGTGTCGTGTGGTGAACACTCACTCACCCAGCTACGACTCACTGTGAGACTCACTCACTCACTCAGTCACTCACTCAGTCACTCACTCAGTCACTCAGTCTCTCACTCAGTCACTCACTCAGTCACTCACTCAGTCACTCACTCAGTCTCTCACTCGCCCTGGTGGCCATTGTGTTCATCACGTGTCGTGTGGTGAACACTCACTCACCCAGCTACGACTCACTGTGAGTATCACTCACTCAGTCACTCACTCACTCAGTCACTCACTCACTCAGTCACTCACTCACTCAGTCACTCACTCAGTCACTCACTCAGTCACTCACTCAGTCACTCAGTCTCTCACTCGCCCTGGTGGCCATTGTGTTCATCACGTGTCGTGTGGTGAACACTCACTCACCCAGCTACGACTCACTGTGAGCCTCACTCACTCACTCAGTCACTCACTCAGTCACTCAGTCACTCACTCAGTCACTCACTCATACACTCACTCACTCACTCAGTCACTCACTCACTCAGTCACTCACTCAGTCACTCAGTCACTCACTCACACAGTCTCTCACTCGCCCTGGTGGCCATTGTGTTCATCACGTGTCGTGTGGTGAACACTCACTCACCCAGCTACGACTCACTGTGAGCCTCACTCACTCAGTCACTCACTCACTCAGTCACTCACTCACTCAGTCACTCACTCAGTCACTCACTCACTCAGTCACTCACTCACTCAGTCACTCACTCAGTCACTCACTCAGTCACTCACTCAGTCTCTCACTGGCCCTGGTGGCCATTGTGTTCATCACGTGTCGTGTGGTGAACACTCACTCACCCAGCTACGACTCACTGTGAGACTCACTCACTCAGTCACTCACTCAGTCACTCACTCAGTCTCTCACTGGCCCTGGTGGCCATTGTGTTCATCACGTGTCGTGTGGTGAACACTCACTCACCCAGCTACGACTCACTGTGAGCCTCACTCACTCACTCAGTCACTCACTCAGTCACTCAGTCACTCAGTCACTCACTCAGTCTCTCACTCGCCCTGGTGGCCATTGTGTTCATCACGTGTCGTGTGGTGAACACTCACTCACCCAGCTACGACTCACTGTGAGTATCACTCACTCACTCAGTCACTCACTCACTCAGTCACTCACTCACTCATACACTCACTCACTCAGTCATACACTCAGTCACTCACTCACTCAGTCACTCACTCAGTCACTCACTCAGTCACTCACTCACTCAGTCACTCACTCAGTCTCTCACTGGCCCTGGTGGCCATTGTGTTCATCACGTGTCGTGTGGTGAACACTCACTCACCCAGCTACGACTCACTGTGAGTATCACTCACTCACTCAGTCACTCACTCACTCAGTCACTCACTCACTCATACACTCACTCACTCAGTCATACACTCAGTCACTCACTCACTCAGTCACTCACTCAGTCACTCACTCAGTCACTCACTCACTCAGTCACTCACTCAGTCTCTCACTGGCCCTGGTGGCCATTGTGTTCATCACGTGTCGTGTGGTGAACACTCACTCACCCAGCTACGACTCACTGTGAGCCTCACTCACTCACTCAGTCAGTCACTCACTCACTCACTCAGTCACTCAGTCACTCACTCAGTCACTCACTCACTCAGTCACTCACTCACTCAGTCACTCACTCAGTCACTCACTCACTCACTCAGTCACTCACTCAGTCACTCACTCACTCAGTCACTCAGTCTCTCACTGGCCCTGGTGGCCATTGTGTTCATCACGTGTCGTGTGGTGAACACTCACTCACCCAGCTACGACTCACTGTGAGCCTCACTCACTCACTCAGTCAGTCACTCACTCACTCACTCAGTCACTCAGTCACTCACTCAGTCACTCACTCACTCAGTCACTCACTCACTCAGTCACTCACTCAGTCACTCACTCACTCACTCAGTCACTCACTCAGTCACTCACTCAGTCAGTCACTCACTCAGTCACTCACTCAGTCTCTCACTCGCCCTGGTGGCCATTGTGTTCATCACGTGTCGTGTGGTGAACACTCACTCACCCAGCTACGACTCACTGTGAGACTCACTCACTCACTCAGTCACTCACTCACTCAGTCACTCAGTCTCTCACTGGCCCTGGTGGCCATTGTGTT